GCAATGACTTGAACCAGTTCTAATTCAACCTGGGATTTGGGAGGTAGCCCCAGTTTGGGAGTGAAGTAGTTTTAATGTGCTACAACAGGTTAGAAGTTAAACCAACACTCTCAGATGTTAGCAGCAATGAAAATACTGTTACCACCACCCATCAAAAATACCACACTGGTGGTTCTCGAACGCTCCTTAGTAGTGGAATTGCACACTAGAAATTTTTTTCTTATTACTATAAATAACACATAATTATAAGCAACATTTGTCTTTGAAGCATACATCCGCTTTCTACAGGAAAATACATATATTAAAATATACATGTACACTGAGGTTATGCTGAGTTCTGGCTTTTGTTGTCATTCTTGATATCACTTGTTTTAAATAGTCAACCTATTTTTACAAGGTAGAGAGCAAGAAGAGAGGACCAGACACCGACGCAAGGCAGCCTTTTTATTTCTCATCAGTATTACTGCTTTGTTCTTCATCCTTTGCTGTGTCGCTGCTCTTTTTCCACCTCTTTTAATATCAACCACATCACAAATTCATTGGGGTTTCCTTAAAAACTTTAGACACTCAGCTTTGGCAATAGCTAAAGCATGGAGATGGTCATTCAAGTGTGGAGATCAAAGACAAGATCACTAAATACAGCTAATAGACCATTTCACAGCAGCCATTTTTGATACAAAGCAGAAGGGTAATTCATGAATTAATCCATAGCCCACTCACCACACCTAAACTATCCTTGCTGCAGGCGAGTGAGTCCCTGATTAGCCTAATGAGGTGAATGCTATGTTTACAATTGTCATATCCCATGTTAGATAATTCCTGCAGCAGACTGGTACTGTAAATTGTTTTTGTTTTGTTTTTGTTTGCATGTTTTTAGATTTCAGCATGTAGTAAAACTGCCATTAGTTACTACCATTAGACCCAGCTTCCAAAAATATATTCAGGAAACTGAATGCACTATGGCTGTGTAGGTTCTGGTGACGGAATTAAATGAAATAAATTGTTCACTATAGCTCACGCGAACAACAAAGCTGGGAACAGCTGACAAATGTGGATGTGCCAACAGCCCGCCCTGCCTCAGTCCCTGGGTGTGTGTGTTGTGTCTGTATATTCTCCGGTAAGAACACAAAACCTTGTGGGCTGTCTTCGCTCTCTGCTTTTACGAAGAAAAAGACATCCTCCCTTCCGCTGGCTGACAGAGCTCAGCATGGCAGTAACGGTCTGCAATGCTGTAAGAGATGAAAAGGGTGAGGACAGGGGTCAGTTAGTTCTGCTGAAAGCACAAAGAGGTCTGAGCCTTAGGGGCTGATGGAGCACAAACATGCCGATACAACCCATAAGAGATAATTCAGAGAGAGGACATGGTCTGAGCCGACAGGTGGAATAGGAGGCAGCAGGACAGGTGGCATCTGGGCCTGCCTCTGCTCTTGGCTATAGTCAGCCAGGGCCGCAGAATGCTGGGAGTCAGGGGAATGATGAGTGATCAAACACATGATGATGACTAATGACAATGCTGCCTGGTGGATAACTGGTAGAGAGGCAGAATTGAGTGATACATTTTCATAAGTTTAACACAAAGTAGCAGATAAATGCAGAAAACACGAATGAATGGCCGTGGTATGTTTTTCATCATCTCATCTCTTCAATTTATTTGTCAACATGGGCTTACACCTGGATAAAATAAAAGTGATGAAACCTTACTACTTCACTTCTTAGATTTCATGTAGACAGGCATAGCATGCACAGGACTCCTAGTTTGTCATGGGAAGAGCCTCAAAAATACCCTAACATATACAAACAGAAAAACCCAGAGACAAGCAATGGTGACATGAACAGCAACTAAGGCAAAAAAAATGAACATTCTTATGGATACGACCCGCAGAACGCTGAGACTGAGGCCGGATCTGACCAGAATTTAGGCCCATGCCTGCAGGTACTGGACATACCGTTGAGTAGTTAAAAGCTGGAAATCTCGTTGTCAGGGTTCTTCCTTCAGTGGCAAGGTGCATGCTGCTGAGTCAAAGGTAGCCTGTCCCCACTGATGCAGTGAGCTCTGGACACTGCCTTGCTTAACAAAAACATATCACAGAGCTTTCACCATTATAGAAATTAATGCACCTCTTCAGCATGCTAACTTACTTTTGTGTGACCATTAGGGTTGTTTTTAAGCAAACAAATATTTACCTTTAACTATGCATAAAAGACACTAGATTGCTAATAGTTGTTTGACTGAAAACACATTTGTGTCCTCTCGATTCATGAATATGACATGATAGGGTGAGTCTTATTCTTGAGCTCTGCCATTGAGGCCATGAAACGACTTACAGTAAATTGGCCAAAGAGGAGTCCTGACCATTGACACATATAAACATGACGACATGACAAAGGTCCACATGAAGTGAGGTCAAACATCTAGCATGTACAACTGAACTAAAGTACAACA